ATAGAAATCATTATTATTATCATTATTATTATTATATAAATAATACTTAATAATAATGATGATAATAATAACAACAATAAATAATAAATACTAATACTAGTAATAATAATGATAATAATAATAATAACAATAATAATAGTGATAATAATAATAACATTAATAACAATAAAAGTAATAATACTAATAATGATAATAGCATAATAGTAATAATAATAATGCTAACTACTATTACTACTACTATATATATTTTTGCGAGTGAGAGAGAGAGAGAGAGAGAGAGAGAGAGAGAGAGAGAGAGAGAGAGAGAGAGAGAGAGAGAGAGAGAGAGAGAGAGAGAGAGAGAGAGAGAGAGAGAGAGACAGAGAGAGAGACAGACAGACAGACACTCAGACAGACAAAAAATGAAGAAGAAAAAAAGCAAAAAAAAGCAAGAAAATAAGTAAAAAAACACATACACAGACCCACTTCCCAAACACCCGAACAACCAAGCCACGCCCCTCACAAACAACCCAACCACCTAAACGAGGTCAACGAGACGACCCCGCGGAATCTGACCTGGAAAAATGTCCTCACTGTGACCTGAGGTGACACGCTGGCGGGGTCATAGTGCAGGGACTCATCCTCGGCTTGCCTGTTGATATAAAGACAATCAATTAATCTTTTCGTCGTTTATATAAACTCTTTGTCGTTATATGAGTCTTGTTATTGTTCATTTATTATTGTCTATTTTCATTATTCATCTTTATTCTTTATATTATTATGTTATTATCATTCCTTTCATTATTACTATGTACTTTATCATTCGTTGTTATTCCTGTTATTTGCATCACCATTATTTATCGTTATTGTAATCATTATTATATTACAACAATTGATATTATTTTATTCTTATAATCATTCTTTATTATTCTTTTCTTGTAATTGTTTTTTTTTATTCTTATTAATTTTTTTATTATTCTATTTCTTAAAAGTATTTTTTATTAATTTCATTATGATGTATGAATATCATCATTTATCTACGTTCCCATCTGTTAATTAATTTAATTATCAAATTGGTATTAGCGACAAGATAAATCCTATTGTCAATGCTTAAAATAAAATATATGTCATCGTCATCGACAACATTATTAATATATTTAATGTGATTATATTGTCAGTGGCAATGTTCTTTTTAATATAAAAATCATAAAAATTACCTTACTGGCAATAATCTGATAGACATTGTCATAATCACGATCATTGTAATTCTGTTGTTATCATTACGGATTTTTTTCGGATATTTATTCATTTGTCTTATCGGTTTCATCATCATTATTGCCATTTACCTTACTGCTGTATGGTTAATATTTATATCAACACCGTTTGATATTTTGTTCCCGACTGACATTTCTACCTCTGACAATTTTTTCCTTTCTGACACTTTTATTTCTCAACGGACACTATTTCACCTAAAAAAAATCACCCCCCCCCTTCTGACACCTCTTCCTCAACCATCATTTCACCCAACAAACACATCCATCAATTTTCCCCCATCTGACACAATTTTCCCCCCATCTGACACAAATTTTCCCCCATCTGACACAGTCCCCCCATCTGACACAATTTTTCCCCATCTGACACAAATTTTCCCCCATCTGACACAATCCCCCCCCATCTGACACAATTTCCCCCCATTTGACACAATTTCCCCCATCTGACACAATCTTTCCCCCCCCCCCATCTGACACTCATTCCCCAGCTGACACCGACCCAGAGAGATAGAGTCTGACATCGCTGACGAGCCCGAGAGTCAGAATTTTCCGCATTTCCTCGGCTCCTGACGCTCCTGCTGACACGACGACCTTCACCGCGCCCTCCTGACTGCCCAGCTGACCCTCCTCCTCCTGTGCCACTAGGGTCAGCTTCTCCTGTGGAAGGATGGATAAGGATGAGTAATAATGATAATGATGATGATAATGATGGCGATAATATAATTTTTATTATTATTATTATTATTATTATTATTATTATTATTATTATATTATTATTATTATATTATTATTATTATTATTATTATATTATTATTATTATTATTATATATAATAATATTAATAATAATAATAATAATAATAATAATATAATATAATAATAATAATAATAACAATAATAATAATAATAAATTAATAATATAATAATATAATAATAATAATAATAATAATAATAATAATAATAATAATAATAATAATAATAACAATTATGATAATAACCATAATAATAACAACAACAACAAAAACAATAACAATAATAACACAACAACCATAACAACCACAACAACAAACACAAAAACCTTACCGCGGCGGGTTGACGGGATTGTCCAACGAGCAGTGGGCGTTGCGGGCGTCAGAGGCAACACACTTGTAAGGCAGGGAGCGAAAAGACAGCCCCTGGGGTAGCCGCACGCCCATCCACCCGTTGTAGGCAGGTTCGCCGCCCACGCCCACTCCCACGTGGAGGTGAAGGCCAGCGCCCGAGCCGAGGGTGTAGCGGCCGTCGGTTCTGTTGAGGGGGGGGGATCGAAAATAATGATAATGATGATGAAGATGGTGATGGTACTGGAGGTGGTGGTAGTGATGGTACTGGAGGTGGTGGTGGTGATGGTACTGGAGGTGGTGGTGGTGATGGTACTGGTGGGTGGTGGTGGTGATGTACTGGAGGTGGTGGTGATGGTACTGAAGGTGATGGTACTGGAGGTGGGGTGGTGATGGTATGGAGTGGTGTGGTGGTGTGGGTGGTGATGTACTGGAGGTGGTGGTGGTGGATGGTACTGGAGGTGGTGGTGGTGGTGGTGATGGTACTGAGGTGGTGGTGGTGATGGTACTGGAGGTGGTGGTTGGTGATGGTATGGAGGTGGTGGTGGTACTGGAGGTGGTGGTGGTGATGTACTGAGGTGGTGGTGGTGGTGGTGGTGATGGTACTGGAGGTGGTGGTGGTGATGGTACTGTGGTGGTGGTATGGTACTGGAGGTGGGTGGATTGGTACTGGAGGGTGTGGGTTGATGGTACTGGAGGTGGTGGTGGTGATGGTACTGGAGGTGGTGGTGGTGGTGGTGGTGGTGATGGTACTGGAGGTGGTGGTGGTGATGGTACTGGAGGTGGTGGTGGTGGTGGATGGTATGGAGGTGGTGGTGGTGATGGTACTGGAGGTGGTGGTGGTGATGGTACTGGAGGGGGGTGGTTGGTGGTGGTGGTGGTGGTGGAGGTGGTGGTGGTGATTGGGAGGTGGTGGTGGTGATGGTACTGGAGGTGGTGGTTGGTGATGGTACTGGAGGTGGTGGTGGTGGTGGTATGGTACTGGAGGTGGTGGTGGTGATGGTGGTGATGGTACTGGAGGTGGTGGTGGGATGGTACTTGGAGGTGGTTGGTGGTGATGGTACTGGAGGTGGTGGTGGTGGTGATGGTACTGGAGGTTGGTGGTGATGGTACTGGAGGTGGTGATGGTAATGGAGGTGTGGTGGTGGGTATGAGTTGGTATGGTGGAGGTGGTGGTGGTGATGGTACTGGAGGGTGGTGGTGGTGAGGTACTGGAGTGGTGGTGGTGATGGTACTGGAGGTGGTGGTGGTGATGGTACTGGAGGGTGGTGGTGATTTGGTGGTGGTGATGGTACTGGAGGTGGTGGTGGTGATGGTACTGGAGGTGGTGGTGGTGATGGTACTGGAGGTGGTGGTGTGTGACTGGTGGTGTGGTGGTGTGGTACTGGAGGTGTGTGTGGTGGTACTGGAGGTGTGGTGTGGTGGTGGTGGTGGTGGTGGTGGTGATGGTACTGGGGGTGGTGGTGGTGATGTACTGATTGGTGGTGTGGTGATGGTACTGGATGTGGTGGTGGTTGATGGTACTGGGTGGTGGTGGTGGTGATGGTACTGGAGTGGTGGTGTGGGATGGTACTGGAGGTGGTGGTGTGATGGTACTGGAATGGGTGTTGATGTACTGGAGTGGTGGTGGTGATGGTACTGGAGGTTGGTGGTGGGTGATGGTACTGGAGGTGGTGGTGGTGGTGGTGATGGTACTGGAGGTGGTCGGTGGTGATGGTACTGAGTGGTGGTGGGTGATGGTACTGGAATGGTGGTGGTGGTGATGGTGGTGGATGGTGTGGTGGTGGTGGTATGGAGGTGTGTGGTGATGGTACTGGAGGTGGTCGGATGGTACTGGGAGGTGTGATGGTGGAGTGATGGTACTGGAGGTGGTGGTGTGATGGTATGGAGGTGGTGTTGGTGATTGTACTGGAGTGTGTGGTGATGGTACTGGATGGTTGGTGGTGATGGTACTGGAGGTTGGTGATGTGATGGTACTGGAGGTGTGGTGTGATGGACTGGAGGTGGTGGTGGTGATGGTACTGGAGTGGTGGGTGGTGGTGGATGGTTGGCATGGTGGTGGTGGTGATGTACTGGAGGTGGTGGTGGTGATGGTACTGGAGGTGGTGTGTGATGGTGGAGGTGTGGTGGTGATTTACTGGAGTGGTGGTGGTGATGGTACTGAGGTGGTGGTGTGGGTGATGGTATGTGAGGTGGTGTGGTGATGGTACTGGAGGTGGTGGTGGTTGATGGTACTGGAGTGGTGGTGGTGGTGATGGTACTGGAGGTGGTGGTGGATGGTACTGGAAGGTGGTTGGTGTTGATGGTACTGGAGGTGGTGGTGGTGGTGATGGTAGGTGGTGAGGTTGATGGTACTGGGTACTGGAGGTGTGGTGGTGATGGTATTGGAGGTGGTGGTGGTGATGGTAATGGACGGTGATGGTACTGGAGTGGTGGTGGTGATGGCTGGACTGGAGGTGTTGTGGGTGATGGTCTGGAGGTGGTGGTAGTGATGGTACTGGAGGTTGGTGGTTGATGGTACTGGAGGTGGTGGTGGTGATGTACTGGAGTGGTGGTGGTGATGGTACTGGAGGTGGTGGTGATGGTAAGGTGGTGGTGGTGTGTGGTGGTGATGTACTGGGTGGTGGTGTGTTGATGTACTGGAGGTGGTGGTGGTGATGGTACTGGAGTCGTGGTGGTGATGGTACTGGAGGTGGTGGTGGTGATGGTGACTGGAGGTGGTTGTGTGTGGTGAGGTATGGTGGAGGTGGTGTGATGGTATGGGGTGGTGGTGGTGGTGGTACTGGAGTGTGGTGGTGGTGGTACTGGAGGTGGTGGTGGTGACTGGAGTGGTGGTGGTGATGTACTGGAGGTGGTGTGATGGTACTGGATGGTGGTTGGTGGTGATGGTACTGGAGGTGGTGGTGGTGATGGTAGGTGGTGGTGCTGATGGTACTGGAGGTGGTGGTGGTGATGGTACTGAGGTGGTGGTGGTGATGGTACTGGAGGTGGTGGTGGTATGGTCTGGAGGTGGTGGATGGATTGGTACTGAGGTGGGTGGTGGGTACTGGAGGTGTGGTGGTGACTGGAGGTGGTGGTGGTGATGTACTGGAAGGTGGTGGTGGTGATGGTACTGGAGGCTGGTGGTGGTGATGGTGGTGGAGGTGTGGTGGTGGTGGTGGTATGGACTGGAGGTGGTGGTTGATGGTACTGGAGGTGGTCGTGGTGATGGTACTGGGGTGTGGTGGTGATGGTAATGGAGTGGTGGTGTGATGGTACTGGAGGTGGTGTGGTGATGGTACTGGAGGTGGTGGTGGTGATGGTACTGGAGGTGGTGGTGGTGATGGTACTGGAGGTGGTGGTGGTGATGGTACTGGAGGTGGTGGTGGTGATGGTATGGTGGTGGTGGTGATGGTATTGGATGGTGGTGGTGATGGTACTGGAGGTGGTGGTGGAGTGGTGGTGAACTGGAGGTGATGGTACTGGATGCGGTGATGTACTGGATGATGGTACTGGAGGTGGTGGTGGTGATGGTACTGGAACTGGATGGTGGTGGTGATGGTATTGATGGTACTGGAGGTGTGGTCTGGAGGTATGATGATGATGATGGTAATGATGATTATGATGATGATGGTGATGATGATGGTAATGATGATGATGATGATAATAATAATAACAATAATAATAATAATAATGGCAATGGTGATAGTAATAGTAATAATAATACTGATGATAATACCAACACTGTTAATAATAGTAATACCATAAAAAACAATAATAACATTGATAATGATAATAATAATGATGATAAAAATGATAATGACGTTAATAATAATGATGATGATAATAATGATAATGATATTAATAGTAATGATAGCAATAATATTAATAATGAGTGTGAATTGTTTTGGTTTGCATAAAGGAACGTGTAGCTTTCTTGTTAGATATGAGAGCACTGGTTGTGTGTGTGTGTGTGTGTGTGTGTGTGTGTGTGTGTGTGTGTGTGAAGAGAGAGAGGAGAGAGAGAGAGAGAGAGAGAGACAGAAGGAGAGAGAGAACAAGGAAAGGAGAGAGAGAGACAGAAAGGAGAGAGAGAGACAGGAAAGGAGAGAGAGAGACAGAAAGGAGAGAGAGAGACAAGGAGAGAGAGACAGAAAGGAGAGAGACAGGAAGAAAGGAGAGATAGACAGAGAGGAAAAGAGAGAGAGAAAAGGAGAAAGAGAGAGAGAGAAAGAGAAAGACAAAGAGAAAAAAGAGATAGAGAAAGAAAGAGAGAAACAGAAAGAGAAAAAAAGACAGCACGCGAAGCCAGGAAATCACTCACACTCCCTCCGCCCATGCCGCCTCCAGGGTGAGCGTGGGCGTGCAGACCGCATCGGCGCCGCAGCCCAGGCGAGGGGACGGAGTCCTGTGGGCGGCCGGAGAAGAGGGCGCCGCCACCCCACACCTCGGGCACCAGGGGGAGGCTAGGAGGGGGGAGGGAGGGGGGGGGTTGGTTAGGTATATCACTTTCGCAATTGAATAAATATTGTCTTATTATTATTTTGATTGTGGTTTTATTAATATTTATTGCTGGATATTTATTCATTTATGTTATCGGTTTCAGCGTCGTTATTGTTATTTTCCTTACTGCTGTTGATTTATATCACCTTCGGTATATCATTTAGGTATATCACCTTCGTTATATCAGTTAGGTATATATATTCAGGTATATCACATTCGTTTCAATTATTTAGGTATATCACCGTTATATCATTTAGGTATACACCTTCGTTATATCAGTTAGGTATATCATCGTTTATTAGTCAGGTATATCACATTCGTTCATTATTAGGTATATCATATTCGTTCAGGTATATCATAGTTCAATTATTTAATATCAATATTAAGGTATATCATCGTTATATTAGTCAGGTATATCACATTCGTTCAATCATTTAGGTATATCACTTTCGTTCAATTATTTAAGTATATCACTTTCGTTCATTCGTTCAGGTTTATCACCTCCGTTATACCAGGTATATCACCTTCTATATAACATTTAGGTATACCATCTTCGCTCTATCTTTTACGTATATCACCTTCGTTATGTGATTTAGGCATATCATTTTCGTTATATTATTTAGGTATATCACCTTCGTTATATCATTTAAGTATATCACTTTTTTCAATCGTTTAGGTATATTACATTTATTATATCATCTAAGTCATCGTGTCCCTAAAATGCAAAAAAAAAATACTCGTAAAATATTAATGTCGTATTACTGATGGTAATTCACATAAGCTAAGTAATCTTAATTTCAAAGATACAGTGTTAATTACTGCCATTTAAAAATCATATTTATGAAAATGAAAATCATCATTACATCTTTGATCCTAAATTATTTTTGTGTTCGCGATCAAAATTATTTTTATGTTCACGATCAAAATTATTTTTATGTTCGCGATCAAAATTATTTTATGTCACGATCAAAATTATTTATATGTTCACGATCAAAAATATTTCTATGTTCATGATGAAAATTATTTTTATGTTCACGATCAAAATTATTTTTATGTTCACGATCAAAATTATTTTTTTGTTCACGATGAAAATTATTTTTATGTTCACGATCAAAATTATTTTTATGTTCACGATCAAAATTATTTTTATGTTCACGATCAAAATTATTTTTTTGTTCACGATGAAAATTATTTTTATGTTCACGATCAAAATTATTTTTATGTTCACGATCAAAATTATTTTTCATGTTCACGATCAAAATTATTTTTTGTTCACGATCAAAATTATTTTTTATGTTCGCGACCAAAATCATTTTTATGTTCACGATGAAAATTATTTTTATGTTCGATCAAAATTATTTTTATGTTCACGATCAAAATTATTTTTATGTTCGCGATCAAAATTATTTTTATGTTCACGATCAAATTATTTTTATGTTCACGATCATTTTTTTTATGTTCACGATGAAAATCATTCTTATATTCACGATTAAAATCATTTTTATGTTCACGATCAAAATTATTTTTTGGTTCACGATCAAAATTTATTTTTTTGTTCACGCTGAAAATTATTTTTATGTTCACGATCAAAATTATTTTTATGTTCACGATGTTCATGTTATTTTCATGTTCACGATGAAAATTATTTTTATATTCACGATCAAAATTATTTTTATGTTCGCGATCAAAATTATTTTATGTTCGCGATCAAAATATTTTTATGTTCCGATCAAAATTATTTTTATGTTCGCGATCAAAATTATTTTTCTGTTCGCGATCAATTATTTTTATGTTCACGATCAAAATTATTTTTCTGTTCGCTTATTTTTATGTTTATTTTTATGTTCGCGATCAAAATTTATTTTTATGTTCGCGATCAAAATTAATGTTCGATTTTATTTTTATGTTCACGATCAAAATTATTTTTATGTTCACGATCAAAATTATTTTTATGTTCACGATCAAAATTATTTTTCTGTTCACGATCAAAATTATTTTATATCAAAATTATTTTGTTCGCGATCAAAATTATTTTTATGTTCACGATCAAAATTATTTTATGTTCACGATCAAAATTATTTTATGTTCGCGATCAAAATTATTTTTATGTTCACGATCAAATTATTTTTATGTTCACGATCAAAATTATTTTTCTGTTCGCGATCAAAATTATTTTATGTTTCAAAATTATTTTTTCAAAAATTATTTTTTGTTCGCGATCAAAATTATTTTTATGTTCGCGATCAAAATTATTTTTAGCGATCAAAATTATTTTTATGTTCACGATCAAAATTATTTCTATGTTCACGATCAAAATTATTTTTATGGATCAAAATATTTTTATGTTCACGATCAAATTTATTTTATGTTCACGATCAAAATTATTTTTATGTTCACGATCAAAATTATTTTTTGTTCCGATCAAATTTATTTTTATGTTCATCATCATCAAAATTATTTTTTTGTTCACGATCAAAATTATTTTTATGTTCACGATCACGATCAAAATTATTTTTATGTCACGATCAAAATTATTCATATTCACGATCAAATTTATTTTTTGTTCACGGACAAAATTATTTCATATTCACGATCAAATTTATTTTTATGTTCCGATCAAAATTATGTTCACGATCAAAATATTTATGTTCACGATCAAAATCACACGATCAAAATTATTTTATGTTCACGATCAAAATTATTCACGATCAGATTTTATTTTTATGTTCACGATCAAAATTTTCATGTTCATCGATCAAATATTTTTATGTTCACGATCAAAATTATTTACGATCAATTATTTTTATCGATCAAAATTTATCAGTTCACGATCAAAATTATTTTTATGTTCACGATCAAAATTATTTTTTGTTCACGATCAAAATCATTTTGTTCACGATCAAAATTATTGTTCACGATCAAAATTAGATCAAATTCAATCAAATTATTTTTATGTTCACGATCAAAATTATTCTCATGTTTACGATCAATCTAAAACTTAACAATGATGAATCTTGTTATCACAGAAAATAACAATAACAACGAACACCACGTCATGAATAAGGTTAATTACTGTATTTTATTTAACCAAAATGAAAAAATGAATAAAAGTGGATTATAATCACAATATCATTAGTATTGAGATATTTTAGGTGATAGATTCACCTCGTGTCTCACTCGTTGCCCTTTGACCTACCTGGATCAAGGTCATCTGAGGTGAATCTGAACACGATTTCCAAAGGATGGGTGGCATTTTTCAGGTCATCCTATAAATTAAGATATATATCAATTACATTTTTATCAACTTTATAATCGTTTTATAGTCATTCTCCCTGTCTGAAAAAATTAGGAAGATTCCGATATTGCATTTATGTCAACTTTATAATCCCTTTATAGTCGTTCTCCCTGTCTGAAAGCAACCGGGAGAATATTCTTCATAAATTATGTATTTTCGTAGAGTGGGACAGACATGTAGACGAAGCTTCAACAGGATGGGCGTGGCTTACTTTCAGTTTGATGTCGTAATGCTCGCACTTTCTGACGTCACGACTAAGCTCCACCTCCTCCGTGATGACGCCGGTGCCAGACGCAAGAAAATTCGCCCGGTCGCCCGTTCCTTCGTCCACTGTTAATTCCAGCCGCATATCTGGTGATTAAGTGAAATTGTTATTTTTGATTATCGTTATCATTATGACTAGAATTATCATTTCAATTCATCAGCATCACTACCACCACCACCATCATTATCATCATCATGATCATCATTATCATTATCATTGTCATTATTATTATTATTATCATTATTATTATGTTATCATATTTTTTTCTGTTATTATTGCTATTGTCATTGGTCGTGTGCGTGTGCGTGTGCGTGACCGCGTATGTGTGTGCTTATCCTATATTCATGCCTTAAAGAATGTTTATCTTTGTTTTCTTTCAATGTTTTTTATGTCATTAAAAAGCTTTATCCCTGTATCCCCTAACTCAAAAAAAATCTGAAACTTATATCTAAAAAAATAATAATAATTGTCATATAAACCATGGAATTCAAGTGTAGCGTACATTTTATGATGCCGGTTCGTCCAATTTGCCAATCTAATCTATCACACTTTATCTAAAAGTTATTAGGAACGGAAATTCTAGTCACACCTACATGTTATTACGATAAAGCTCCGTACATCACGTGTCGGAAGTAAAGAGAAAAAACAACACGTTCTTACAAGAATTTCCTTCAAAGATGACATACATAATCACATTTTTTGAATAAACGTCTTTAAAAAGGAAAATAATGACAAGATAAATAAAGAAAATATAAATATAAAATATAAAATATAAAATATAAAAAATAAATATAAAAATATGAATATAAATATGAATATGAAATATAAAAAAATATGAATATAAAATAGAAATATAAAATATAATATATATATATAAAATATAAAATAAAAAAGCCCTCAAACTAGCCTGTTCTGGTCTACAGCTAGTCTCGCCAGGGGATTCGAACGCGCGAACTCCACACTGGGAGGTAACGGTCTCGCTGGACAGACTGCGGCCAGTAATAGAAAATTATCAAGTTTAAAACGTTACATAGCGTTTATAACATACTCCATAAACCGTATGAGGTATTTCACGCATGCACGCGCGCACGTATATATATGTATATATGATATCTTAAGTGACATTTTTGTACAACACTGCTGCCGAGTCATATGCGAAGGAACTGCATAAAATATTACAAACTTCCTGTACCATATATCGGAAAAAGGTTTCCACGCCGCCATACGACATTCCCTCGAGTTTATATCTTCAAACCCTGACATAATAAAGACACATACGACCACATGCATCCGTCTCTCTTTTATCCCCAACATAATCACGCTACATACAACCCTCATTCCCATTCCACTGTCTCTTTTCATACCCAACATAAACAGCCACATGCGAACGCCGTGTTCAAAACAAAATAAAAAAAAACTTACACATACGAAAAAAATCAGGAAAGTCAAATCATTGAGTAGAACCATGCAAACCCCTTCTTTCAAAAAAATAAATAAAAAATAATAAATAAATAAATAAATAAAAATAAGCGAGCACACAAAAAAAGGAAAATCAAATAAACGAATAAAAATATGCAAACCCGGTATTTTCAAAACAAAACAAAAAACAAAACAAAACAAAACAAAAAACAAAAAACATACTTATCTTCTCCTGCACGTTGTGTCCCCCGAAGGAGAGGCAGGCTGAGGCGACGAAGGTCTGGCCTCCTTCGGTGATGACTTCTCGGTCGCTGGTCACACGCCCCTCCACGGTGGCCACGGGGCGCGTCCTGACCACCCCGCGCCGCCCTCGCCCGCGTACGCGCCCACGCCCAGGTCTAGTTGGGAGGAAAAGTAAGGGTTACCATGTACACACTTAGGCACACACACACACACACACACACACACACACACCACACACACACACACACACACAACACACACACACACACACAAGCGCATGCACATACTCGCGCGCTCGCATATCAATACATACATAGATACATACACATAGGTATAGGTAGAAATAGATCTAGATAGACATCTAGATAAATAGATAGAGCATTTAAACTCACTTATGCGTACACATTCACGCTGACGATCCCACATCATTATCATTATCATTATTAGTACATAATTCTTTATTGTTATTATTATCATGATCATTATCATTATTATTTTTCTATTATTATCATTATTATTCATTATTATTATCATTATCATTATTATTATTCATTATATATATTATTATTATTATTATTATATTCATTTATTATTATTTATTTTATATTATCATTATTATTTATCATTTATATGTTTTATTATCATATCATATATATTATTATTATTATATATATATTATTATTATTATTATTATCATTATTATTATTATTATTATTATTATTTTATTTATAATTATATTATAATTATAATTATTATAATTATTATTATCATTATTATTATTATTATTATTATTATTATTATTATCAATTATATTATTATTATTTATATTATCATTATTATTATTATTATATTATTTTATCATATTATTATTATTATATTATATTATTATTATTATTATTATTATTATTATTATTATTATTATTATTATCATTATATTATTATTACTATTACCCATTATTACCATCGGCCACAACTTACCTGGATAGCCATTACCATCGACGTCGACGCCCCTGGATAACGCCGCCCCGAAGCCTCTGAGGGCGTGTCCGAAATCCCGCGCCCTCAGATGCTGGCTCGCTACGCCGCCCACGCCGTCAGGTCCGCCCAGGAAGATGTACACGGCGCCCTCCCCGTCGTTCTCGTGCGGTGCGCCCACAGCCACATCTGGAGGAGAGGGGGCGAGAGAGTGATAAAGAGGGGGAGGTTAAGAGGTAAGTGAGGTTTTGTGCTAAAATAAGCTTAAAGGTGCTGTCACACGCACTTTTTTCCGTCAATTTTTTGACAATTTTATTTAACATAAATACAAACATTCTCGAATATAACTCTTGATTTGCCTATGCTTGGCTGAAAAAGTTGACGTTAAGGTTTTCAGACGGAAACGATCATTATCTTCTGACTGGAAAATCGACAATTCGCACAAGAAAGGACAAAATTTCAGAAAATTTTCCAAAAATTGACGGAAAAAGTGCTAGTGTGACAGCACCTAAGAATCATTTAAACAGAGTGTGCAGCGTATCATCGTTATATAAATACCATCTGTTTACAAGCATAAAGGCAAGTCTATACAGGGGGTCCTCGGTTTACGACGGCCTCGACTTACGACGTCTCGTGGATACGACGCTAGAAATCATGTACGGTATTTACAGTTTGTCTTCCATGTGTTCCTTTAGCACTAGTTATGTTTTCATGTACGTCATAGAAGTGTCTTGTTATGTTTTAGATTATGATATTAATACATGTATACATACTGTATTACCATATGTGAGTGATTTCGCTGCTTATGCACTTACGTACATGTACTATATTTAGGCGTGTTCCGACTTACGTCAAAATTCGGGTTACGACGCCATCGTAGGAACGGATTTCCGTCGTAAGTCGAGGACCCCCTGTATGCAGATTCTCTTTATAAGTAGGGCTATATATGTAGGATCATCTACTTACAAGCATAGAAGCTAGTGCATATGAAGGTTTGTGCATCCAATGGCGTTCTTAAACCAATTCCCCGAAAATGCGGGTTTTATTAAATGTTTTGTTTACTCGAACTGTCATCTGCATTGGCATGTTCACGCCAACAGCTTTACAATCATGAGATAGGGAGCGTTAAGGCAAACCTATCGATGTCTATGTTGTAGACGAGAGCTTAGATTAACAAACATTTAATAAACGCATTTTTTAGCGTCTTATCGTTATATAAGTATCGTCTATTTACAAACATTTATGCAAGAATACATGCAGATTCTACTTACAAGTAGGGCCATATGCAGGATTAATAGATTTGTGGCAATTAAGAGAGCATTATAATCATTTTTTTATATTTCTTTTTTATAGGCTTATCAATACACCCTCAGTAGTTATTGATAGTGACTAATTTGACAGTGAATATCAATCAGATTTTACACTGAGACAACATCGGAGAATATGAATGACCCAGTTCTTAAAGAAGGTATTTATACCAGGTATTTCGGTGGTGTAGCAGGGACGGTATTCGCGAAAGATTATAAAATTTTCTTTGACAAATTTTAAAGACCCCTAAAAACAGTCTTAGACCGTCATAGAATTTGTCAATGACTCGTTTTAAAGTGTGTCTTTAGCAATTTTGTCTTTAACTCTCTCTTTGACACATTTCAGAGTTAACACTTAACTATTCACATCTTAAAAGACATTTAAAAGAATAATAATCCAATGTGATAAAGAAATGGAATTGCTATTGCAGTGACTCTCCATTATATAATGACTAAAACATTATCAATATCATGTGTTTACGTGGCAACTCTGCATCCGCTGCCAAGTCAAGGAGGAAGCGGTTCAGTTAACATTTGGCAATGATTTAAAAAGTGGCAGGATATTTTTTTTTTTTTTTTTTTTTTTTTTTTTTTTTGTGGTGGTGGTGGTGGTTTTTGATGCGGAGTTATCTTCAGCAACTGTAAAAATCGGATTATTGTTGTCGGCGTCTCGTCAGGACGATTGAACGAGAGAATATACGTAGTTACAAACAAGCGGGTTTTTAAGGGCATTTTCGCGGGGAACCATAAACAAAATTTAGGAGCCAAATATACTTCTTTCAAAAGACCAATTTCGGAGTCTATAACCTTTCGTGAATACCTCCCCAGGGACAGTATCCCCCCCCCCTCCACACACACACAACACACACACACACACACACAACACACACACACACACACACCACACACACACACACACACACACACACACACACACACCACACACACACACACACACACACACACACACACACACCACACACACACACACACACACACACACACACACACAACACACACACACACACACACACACACACACACACACACACACACACACACACACACACACACTACACACACACACACACACACACATCACACACACACACACACACACACACACACACACACACACACACACACACACACACACAACACACACACACACACACACACACACACACACACACACACACACACACACACACACAAACACACACACACACACACACACACACACAACACACACACACACACACACACACACACACACACACACACACACACACACACACACACTACACACACACACACACACACACACACACCTCTCTCTCCCCACCTACCCTGAAACCCGTCTCGGTCGATGTCGCCGATGAGTGAGACAGCGGCTCCGAACCTAGCCCGCGGGGAAGGGGTACTGGCCATCAGGTGGTCGTGGAAGACTAGGCCCTCGGCGGCACCTCGCTTGTACACGAACACGGCTCCTTTCTCCACCATTTCGACGGCTCCTCCTGACGGTGCAGAGAGAGGCGGTGAAGGAACGATGTGCGTCGGAAAGTTGTAGGAAATATGAAGAGATGAATGAGTGTTTTTGATTGATTGTGCGTGATGTAGATGAAAGGTGGGGGGAAAAACAATATTCCATAATGGCGACCTAATTTTGTTTAAATTCAAGGTGGATCTTGATAAAATTCTACAAAACACTGAATATTAACCGGTAGCAATTTTAATGGCATTTACGGTGATTTAAAAAAAGTGTTAGATTCTTCAGCCACATGAAAGGCGAAGAGATGTGATATAACTGGATACTTACTTATTGTATAATACTATAGCTAGGATTTTTTTTCTTTAATTTTTATCATGCAGATATGCAATTTTTCAAAGTGAATATGACGAATAGGCCTACTTCTGAAATAATCCCCCCCAATGAATCATCCAATATCTTTTATCCATAATGATTTTATAAGAGCTGTAAGACCAAAACATGTATAGACTGCAAGCAATTCTCTGGTCATAAGATCCTGAGAGCTCCTGGGATCTAAAAAAACAAAAAAATGTAGGCCATCGTTTGAGCCCCAGACCCAGCTGTCGCCTCTCAAAGGTCCTGGTTACGACCTACAAATGGCTTTGCTCGTCTTTAAAACAATTTCTAAAAAAGCTAGGGCAAATACCTTTAGGTGCTCGATCGCTATAGAATGGGGCTCCGACGAACAGCTCTGCCCAGCCGTCGCCCGTGACGTCACCGGCCGCCACTACGGAACCGAAGCCGGAGCCAATCATGGTTCCAGACACTTCCCACTTCAAGTTGCCATTTGTGCTTAAAAGGCTTACCTGTTCAAAAAAATAAAATACGTGTTCGTCAGTTTCGTTTCAATTGAAGTCTACCGTCCACCTGTAAGCCCATATTTAGCCTCAGACCTTTATTTTCTTTATCATTAGGTTGCACTACATCCCGTGGAATGGGAAATAATGAGGAAAATCATCTTATGCATGTTTATTACGTGTGTGATTAAATGGAATTAATTCTCCATTAATACTTTGTGATGGGTTTCATAGAGAGATTACTTACGCGTGTATTGGTAAATACTAGAAGACTTTTTCTGACAATTGATGCACTGATATGATACGAAAAGGTAGAACTTATTGGACAGTATTGCATATCAGTGTTACTTAATGTATATGTGTGTGTGTGTGTGTGTGTGTGTGTGTGTGTGTGTGTGTGTGTGTGTGTGTGTGTGTGTGTGTGTGTGTGTGTGTGTGTGTGTGTGTGTGTGAGTGTTGTGTGTGTGTGTGTGTATTAGTTTTCCTTTCCCTTTCTGCCAAACCATTCCTTGAGCGCAAGACCTGACCTTTCCTTGCAGATCCGCCCTGGGTGCCCCCGCGACAATGAATTCCTCGCTGCCCCAAAATTTCCCAGAGGTCACGCTGTAGCCTAAGGATGGCAGGAAATGGAAGTGATGCAATGAGAAATGAATAGGATTAGTGTTAGAATTGTTAATGAGAATGATATTTATAGTTGAAACGTCAAGTTGATGAACACCATATGCTTGGGCAATGCATCTTTCAATTCTAAAAAAGCACATCCTGTACATCTTTTAAAAATGGAGGAAAAATTGACTGGGAAAGCTGAGGAGACATTTACAGGAAATACTTAAAATAACAAATAACAAGTTGATAAGCAAATAAACTGAGACAAAAACGTGTGTACGGATTAAGAGCAGTTATTTTTTTTTACAACCCAGAAAAAAGAAAAATTAGCAACTCAATCGAACACTGGAGCACTTTGATTCACTAAGTTTCTTTTGAGTAAATGAAGAAAGTGGTGCGTTCAAGGCAGTGAAATCCAATAAAAAATATATATATATATTATAGATAATTTTAAAATATATATAATGTAAACACGTTTCAAGTGTTAGCTGACTAGAATAAAAATAAAGAAACCTGGTGAATCGAAGCTCCATGTGTGACTCAGTGAGTTGCCAGTTGCTTTCTTTCTCGATATTTATCGCACTTGCTTTACTTATAACTTATTTCCATTTATTTATGTGTTTATTTATGTTCCACTTTTCTTCCAAACTTACCAAAATACGAGTCATATGAGCTGGGCTTAAGAACGTTGAAGTCGGTGGCCGTTGTCCACATTTGGCCTCGTTGTACCATTGCGACCGTACCTGCAGAATGATATTGTTGATAAGATATTCTCTCTCTCTCTCTCTCTCTCTCTCTCTCTCTCTCTCTCTCTCTCTCTCTCTCTCTCTCTCTCTCTCTCTCTCTCTCTCTCTCTCGCGATAACTCAAAAAAAGAACATTTTTTTTTTTTCATTTTTTAGCAGATGTGTGTTTTAGCCTGATTTAGACGCCATTATATTCCGGTGGTGATCCGGATCCAATTTTTTTTTAAGGATTTATTAGCATTGCGAAATAGAGACATTTTTTTTGGCACTTAGATTATTATTATTTATTATTTATTATTATTATTATTATTATTATTATTATATTATTATTATTATCATTATCATTATATTGATGTAATTCTTCAAGTGTATTGCCTTGAGTATACGCTCTCTCAATGCTTCTACTTATTATTGTTATCAGCATCATTATTATTGTCATTATTATCATCAACAGCAACAGTATCATCATCATTATTATTATTATCAATATTATCATTACTATTATTATTATTACTATTATTATTATTATTATTATTATTATCTATAGTGTTATCAGTATTAATAAAAACAAATTTATGTTATCAGTGTTGATCAGATTATTGCGATAACTGATGACGAAGAGAATATTCATGTTGAAAATCGAAGTGATAATGAACAAAGTATATTTTCAAGTTGAAATGAAAAAAATATATATATGAGTTGATTTTTTTACGCATTAGAGATCAAGAAAAGGACATAGAAAAAAAAAATTGATACTTAGAAGGTAGACAAGCGAATTTCAAAAGATGGCTGAAATTTTACTAAAATATAGCAAGACACACAAAAGAATTGCAGTAGATAGAACGTAGATTATCTGTCAATCTATCCATCTGTCTATCTATTTACCAATTTTCTGTCTTTATCTGTTATTTTCCAGTCTTCTATCTATCTATTTACCAATCTCCTCTCTATCAATTTCTATCTTTATCTGTCTATTTACCAATGATCTATTGTTACCAATCTTTTATCTATCTATTTACCAATCTCCTATCTATCTATTATCTATCTATTTACCAATCTCCTATCTATCTATTTACCAATCTCCTATCTATCTATTTACCAATCTCCTATCTATCTCTTTGTTAATCACTCTATCTGGCTATCTGTTTGTCTGCTGCATGTACCTATTATCAATCTCTATATAGTGTTGGCATCGTTATTTTAGTTGATGTAATGTTGCATATTCATGATAAGCGTAAATACTCGTATATATACACCACAACAGATGAAGAAATATAAGAACAAGCACACACACATAAACATACATACACACACACACGCACACACACATATATATATATATAGATAGATAGATAGATATGTGTGTGTGTGTGTGTGTGTGTGTGTGTGTGTGTGTGTGTGTGTGTGTGTGCATGTGTGTGTGTGTGTGTGGGTGGGTGTGTGTGTATGTATATATATATATATATATATTATATAATATATATATATATATATATATAGAGAGAGAGAGAGAGAGAGAGAGAGAGAGAGGAGAGAGAGAGAGAGAGAGAGATAGATAGATAGATAGATAGATAGATAGATAGATAGATAGAAGAGAAAGAAAGAAAGTGAGAGAGAGAGAGAGAGAGGATATAAGAGAAAGAAAGAGAGTGAGAGAGAGAGAGAGAGAGAGATAGAGAGAGAGAGAGAGAGAGAGAGAGAGAGAGAGAGAGAGACAGATATAAGAGAAAGAAAGTGAGAGAGAGAGAGAGAGAGAGAGAGAGAGAGTGAAGAGAGAGAGAGACAGATATAAGAGAGTGAGAGAGAGAGAGAGAGAGAGAGAGAGAGAGAGAGAGAGAGAGAGAGAGAGAGAGAGAGAGATGAGAAAGAAAGTGAGTATATATGCCTTACCTCCCCATTGCTTTACACCGGGAGCACCCAACACAAATCTGCCGTCCTGTAGTAAAAAAATAATAATAATAATAACAATTAATCCAACAAATTGATTAATAAAAAAAAAGCACCGGAGAATTATTATTTCCTCGCTAAGGCAATAGTCTCATTAAATAAAATAAATCCACTTAAGCTTAAGTCACAATAGCACTTTTTCCGTCAATTTTTTTATAATTTTATTTAACATAAATACAAGCATTCTCGAATAATCTTGATCTGACTATGCTTGGTTGAAAAAGTTGACGGAAAGGTTTTCAGACGGAAACGACCATTATCGTCTAACTGGAGAATCGACAATTCGCTCAAAAATGGACAAAATTTCAGAAAATTGTCAAAAAATTGACGGAAAAAGTGCTAGTGTGACGGCATCTTTAGGCCTAACAAAATTTAACCCTGAGGCTACACTTCGACGTTCAGTCATATGACACGCAATGACATATGGTAATAGAGACATGGCTACTTGTCAACGATAATAACTGTCATTTATTTGGGACTAAAGAATTACCCTTTTAATTACAATGTAGAAAAGACAAAAATTGTATAAACTATTATTATGTTGTTATATTTCTATGTTTTTATTATATTTTATTATTATTATTATTATATCTTATTATCCTTTATTAATATATTTTATTATTATTTTATCATTATATTTTTTTATATCTTATTATTTTATTATCATATTATATTTTATTTTTTTATTATATCTTATTATTATTTCATTATCATTATTTATTTTTATTTTTTTTTTTTTTGTATATTTGCATATTTTGTATATTTTAAGTATTTTTGTACATGCATATTCCTACTCACTTGCAGGATGTGCGCTGATGTCCCAACCTGACCCAGTTGGTAATAGTAGATGGTCTGCCCCGTTTCCTCGTCCTGCACGCGCTGTAGGTCTGGCGGAGACACAATGGTCCAAGTTATGTATGTTTAAGAGATATTCGTGTTAAAAAAGTAAAGATTGGTGTCAGGTCTAAAGGTGCTGTCACACTAGCGCTTCTTCCGCCATTTTTTGGGGGGGCAATTTTATTTAAGATCAGTGCAAACGTTCTCGAATATAATTTGATTTGAGTCTGCTTGGCTGGAAAAAGTTGACGGAAAGGTTTTCAGACGGAAACGATCGTTATCGTCTGACTGGAAAATTGAGAATTCGCTCAAAAATTGACAAAATTTCAGAAAACTGTAAAAAAAAAAAAAAAGATACGGAAAAAGTGCTATTGTGACAGCACCTTAAGCGGATCTTAAGGCGCGTGGAGACATGCTATGTGGATTGATGCGGTAGGATGGCTATATTCTTTTCCGCCCCGACTTTGACCCCTGCATGCTGATGTTAGCATGCCGGTACTCGCTCGTAATTGGGGCGGCTAAGAGAGGCTGACAGATCATGCAAGTTACAGCATATAACAAGAGTTTATTTATCTGAAGAATTATGTGCTTGCAACGCGCCGTCGAATCCCTCTCGACGGAGAATTAAAATGACACATCTTATCGCACAAGGAAGTACTTTAATCTTGATCGATATGAGAGGGAGTTTGGCACTGTCCTCGGCTATCTCTTATCTTATCTCCTCCAATATCCGTTTCCGGCGAGGTGGTATACGACCTGTACTAGAATCTTCCTGTCCTTAGAACTGCACTAGAGCCTTCGTGTCCTTAGAACTGCACTAAAAACTGCACTAAAGAGAACCGACTGGAGTAGAACTGCACTAGAGTCTTCCTGTCCTTAGAACTGTACTAAAGTCTTCCTGTCCTTAGAACTGCACTAGTCTTCTGTCCTTAGAATGCACTAAGTCTTCCTGTCCTTAGAACTGCACTAGAGTCTTCCTGTCCTTAGAACTGCACTAGTCTTCCTGTCCTTAGAACTGCACTAGAGTCTCCTGTCCTTACACTAGAGTCTTCCTGTCCTTAGAACTCTTCTGTCCTTAGAACTGGAGTCTAGAACTGTCTTCCTGTCCTTAGAACTGTACTAAAGTCTTCCTGTCCCTTAGAACTGCACTAAGAACTGCACTAGTCTTCCTGTCCTTAGAACTGCACTAGAGTCTTCCTGTCCTTAGAACTGCACTAGTCTTCGTGTCCTTAGAACTGCACTAGAGTCTCCCTGTCCTTAGAACTGCACTAGAGTCTTCCTGTCCTTCCTAAGTCTTCCTGTCTTAGAACTGCACTAAAGTCTTCCTGTCCTTAGAACTGCACTGAGTCTTCCTGTCCTTAGAACTGCACTAAAGTCTTTGTCCTTAGAACTGCACTAGAGTCTTCCTGTCCTTAGAAAGAGTCTTTCCTGTCCTTAGAACTGCACTAGAGTCTTCCTGTCCTTAGAACTGCACTAGTCTTCCTGTCCTTAGAACTGCACTAAAGTCTTCCTGTCCTTAGAACTGCACTAGAGTCTTCCTGTCCTTAGAACTGCACTAAAGCCTTCCTGTCCTTAGAACTGCACTAGAGTCTTCCTGTCCTTAGAACTGCACTAGAGTCTTCCTGTCCTTAGAACTGCACTAGAGTCTTCCTGTCCTTAGAACTGCAGTCTTCCTGTCTTAGAACTGCACTAAAGTCTTCCTGTCCTTAGAACTGCACTAGAGTCTTCCTGTCCTTAGAACTGCACTATTCCTGTCCTTAGAACTGCACTAGAGTCTTCCTGTCCTTAGACTGCCTTCCTGTCCTTAGAACTGTAGAGTCTTCCTGTCCTTAGAACTGCACTAGAGTCTTCCTGTCCTTAGAACTGCCTTCCTGTCCTTAGAACTGCACTAGTCTTCCTGTCCTTAGAACTGCACTAAAGTCTTCCTGTCCTTAGAACTGTACTAGAGTCTTCCTGTCCTTAGAACTGTACTAGAGTCTTCCTGTCCTTAGAACTGCACTAGTCTTCCTGTCCTTAGAACTGCACTAGAGTCTTCCTGTCCTTAGAACTGCACTAGTCTTCGTGTCCTTAGAACTGCACTAAAGTCTTCCTGTCTTAGAACTGCCGAGAACTGCTACTTCCTGTCCTTAGAACTGCCTCTTCCTGTCCTTAGAACTGGAGTCTAGAACTGCACTAGTCTTCCTGTCCTTAGAACTGCACTAAAGTCTTCCTGTCCTTAGAACTGCACTAGAGAACTGCACTAAAGTCTTCCTGTCCTTAGAACTGTACTAGAGTCTTCTGTCCTTAGAACTCTAGAGTCTTTCCTGTCCTTAGAACTGCACTAGAGTCTTCCTGTCCTTAGAACTGCACTAGTCTTCCTGTCCTTAGAACTGCACTAAAGTCTTCCTGTCCTTAGAACTGCACTAGTCTTCGTGTCCTTAGAACTGCACTAAAGTCTTCCTGTCCTTAGAACTGCACTAAAGACTTCCTGTCCTTAGAACTGCACTAGAGTCTTCCTGTCCTTAGAACTGCACTAGAGTCTTCCTGTCCTTAGAACTGTACTAGAGTCTTCCTGTCCTTAGAACTGCACTAAAGTCTTCCTGTCCTTAGAACTGCACTAGTCTTCCTTAGTCCTTAGAACTGCACTAGAGTCTTCCTGTCCTTAGAACTGCACTAGAGTCTTCCTGTCCTTAGAACTGCACTAGAGTCTTCCTGTCCTTAGAACTGCACTAAAGTCTTCCTGTCCTTAGAACTGCACTAGTCTTCCTGTCCTTAGAACTGCACTAGAGTCTTCCTGTCCTTAGAACTGCACTAGAGTCTTCCTGTCCTTAGAACTGCACTAGAGTCTTCCTGTCCTTAGACTTTCTACCTTCCTGTCCTTAGAACTAACTAGAAGTAGAACTGCACTAGGTCTTCCTGTCCTTAGAACTGCACTAGAGTCTTCCTGTCCTTAGAACTGCACTGTCTTCCTGTCCTTAGACTGCACTAAAGTCTTCTGTCCTTAGAACTGCACTAGAGTCTTCCTGTCCTTAGAACTGCACTAGAGTCTTCCCTGTCTTAGAACGCACTAGTCTTCTGTCCTTAGAACTGTACAAGAGTCTTCCTGTCCTTAGAACTGTACAAGAGTCTTCCTGTCCTTAGAACTGCACTAGAGTCTTCCTGTCCTAGAAACTAAAGTCTTAGAACTGCACTAGAGTCTTCCTGTCCTTAGAACTGCACTAAAGTCTTCCTGTCCTTAGAACTGCACTAGAGTCTTCCTGTCCTTAGAACTGCACTAGTCTAGAACTGTTCTTCCTGTCTTTAGAACTGCACTAGAGTCTTCCTGTCCTTAGAACTGCACTAGAGTCTTCCTGTCCTTAGACCCTGTCCTAGAACTGCACTAGAGTCTTCCTGTCCTTAGAACTGCACTAAGTCTTCCTGTCCTTAGAACTGCACTAGAGTCTTCCTGTCCTTAGAACTGCACTAAAGTCTTCCTGTCCTTAGAACTGCACTAGAGTCTTCCTGTCCTTAGAACTGCACTAGAGTCTTCCTGTCCTTAGAACTGCACTAGAGTCTTCCTGTCCTTAGAACTGCACTAAAGCCTTCCTGTCCTTAGAACTGCTGTCCTGCACTAGAGTCTTCCTGTCCTTAGAACTGCACTAGAGTCTTCCTGTCCTTAGAACTGCACTAGAGTCTTCCTGTCCTTAGAACTGCACTAGAGTCTTCCTGTCCTTAGAACTGCACTAGAGTCTTCCTGTAGAACTGCACTAAGTAGAACTGCACTAAAGTCTTCCTGTCCTTAGAACTAAAGTAGAACTGCACTAAAGTCTTCCTGTCCTTAAAACTGCACTTAAGTCTTCCTGTCCTTAGAACTGCACTAAAGTCTTCCTGTCCTTGGAATTATACTTACTAAATTCTACAAGAGGGAGGAGCTTGTTCCAAAGTCCCGGTTCGAAATCTTGTTCTAAAAGGTCTTGCACATCGGCCCAGTAACAAGCGCCGTTCATGAAGTAGTCGTCAGTAGCCAAGTACAACTGGTTGATCCAGCGATGGGCACAGGTCTGGCGAGGTCACAGGGAAAAGGGTACAAGGGTGGTTGGTTATTATCATAATTCATTCTATTTGTTTATATTTGTATGTTTTTGTTTATTTATGTTTATGTTTATAGACGTTTATGTTATGGTTATGCTTTTATATGTTTATATTTATGTACGTTTATATTATGTTTATGTTTATATATATCTATAATCATATTTGTTTATATTTATATATGTATATATTCATATATGGTTATATGTTTATATTTACTGTTTATATTGCTTGTGTCTGAGGAACGCGTGTATGTGTGTATGTATCTGTACATGTGTGTGTATGTGTTTGTATGTATGTGTGTATGTGTGTGTACCTGCATGAACGTGTGTGTGTGTGTCCGTGTGTGTATGTGTGTGTGTGTGTGTGTGTGTGTGTGTGTGTGTGTGTGTGTGTGTGTGTGTGTGTGTGTGTGTGTGTGTGTGTGTGTGGTGTGTGTGTGTGTGTGTGTGTGTGTGTGTGTGTGTGTGTGTGTGTGTGTGTGTGCGTGCGCATATGCTTACCGTGATGATTTGCTTTAAACCGCTCTCGTGGAGGTCGAGTGACACTCCGAGCCAGCTGTAGTCCTTCCTGTCTTGGTACGGAAAGGCCCCAGGCACCACTCCGTTACCTGGGAGAGTGAGAGAGAGTCGGACTGTTACCTGGGAGAGTGAGAGAGAGTCGGACTGTTACCTGGGAGAGTGAGAGAGGTCGGACTGTTACCCTGGGAGAGTGAGAGAGAGTCGACTGTTACCTGGAGAGTGAGAGAGAGTCGGACTGTTAGGGGAGTCGGACTGTTACCTGGGAGAGTGAGAGAGAGTCGGACTGTTACTGGGAGAGTGAGAGAGAGTCGGACTGTTGGGAGAGTGAAGAGAGAGGCGGACTGTTACCTGGGAGAGTGAGAGAGAGTCGACTGTTACCTGGGAGAGTGAGAGAGAGTCGGACTGTTACCTGGGAGAGTGAGAGAGAGTCGGACTGTTACCTGGGAGAGTGAGAGAGAGACTGTTACTGGGAGAGTGAGAGAGAGTCGGACTGTTACCTGGGAGAGTGAGAGAGAGAGTCGGATGTTACCTGGGAGAGTGAGAGAGAGGCGGACTGTTACCTGGGAGAGTGAGAGAGAGTCGGACTGTTACCTGGGAGAGTGAGAGAGAGTCGGACTGTTACCTGGGAGAGTGAGAGAGAGTCGGACTGTTACCTGGAGAGTGAGAGAGAGTCGGACTGTTACCTGGGAGAGTGAGAGAGTCGGACTGTTACCTGGGAGAGTGAGAGAGAGTCGGACTGTTACCTGGGAGAGTGAGAGAGAGAGTCGGACTGTTACACCGGACTGTTACCTGGGAGAGTGAGAGAGAGACGGACTGTTACCTGGGAGAGTGAGAGAGAGTCGGACTGTTACCTGGGAGAGTGAGAGAGAGTCGGACTGTTACCTGGGAGAGTGAGAGAGAGGCGGACTGTTACCTGGGAGAGTGAAAAAAATTGAAGCCGAGAGGCTTACTCAGTCACTCACATGTTGACTCACTCTCTCACACATTCATTTATATCCTCACTCATTCCCTCACTCACTCACTCCCTTCCTCCTTCCCTCCCTCACCCACTCTCCCTCCCTCCCATCCACCCAAATCCCCCCTCACTCACTCCTCCTCTCCTCCCTCCCCCCTCCCTCTCTCCCATCCACCCACTCCCTCACCCACTCCTCCCCTCCCTCCCTTCCTCCATCAACCCACTCCCTCCCTCACTCACTCACTCCATCCCATCCACCCACATTCCCACCTTCCTCCCCTCATCTTCTCCCTCCCTCCCTCATCTACTCCCTCATACCTTCTCACCTTCCCTCCCTCCCACTCCCATCCACACCCCGCCCTCCTCCCCTCCTCCCTTCCCTCCCTCCCTCTATCACCACCTCCTCATACCTTCCCACCTTCCCTATCTCCCTTCCTCCATCCACACCCCCGCCCTCCTCCCCTCCTCCCTTCCTCCCTCCCTCTATCACCACATACTTTCCCATCTTCCCTCCCTCCCTCCCTCCTCTCCTCTCTCCTCTCCTGGACCGGTAGATGGACGGGTGCATAAGATCTGTCTCTCTTCCTCCTCCCCTCCCTCTCCCCTCCTCCTCCCCTCCTCCCTCCCCTCCCCCCTCCCTCCCTCCCTCTCCTCCCTCCTCCCTCCTTCCTCCTCCCTCCTCCCCTCCCCTCCCTCCCCTCCCTCCCTCCCTCCCTCCCTCTCCCCCTCCCCTTCCTCCTTCCCTCCCCCCTCCCCTCCCTCCTCCCTCCTTCCCTCCTCCTCTTCCCTCTCCCCCCTCCTCCTCCCTCACTCACTCACCTGACGCATCGACAAGGATTTGAGAGCAGTCGCGGGATGACCCTTCTAGAGGGCAGACGTACAGAGCTCCGGGTTCGGGTATCTCGGCGGGAGTCCACGATGCCCGGGTCTGTTGGCTCGCGGGGCACTCACGATGGCCCTGTGGGAGGGGGGGAGGTGAGAGGGGGGGAAGAGGGGGATTATGTGTTTGTGTGTGTGTGTGTGTGTGTTGTGTTTATAAGTTTGTATGTGTGTGTGTTTGTTTGTTTGTTTGCGTGTGTGTATGCATATTTGTATATATATTTACACACATACTTGTCTATCAATCTATCTATCTGTCTACCTATTTATCAATTTATCAGATTATTTGATGTTCTAGATCGGTGTATCCTAACCTAGAGGCCATGGATCAATATGAAAATTATAACCGCGAATTAAATTGGAATTGTCTCACCTACAGTGGTTTAAAACAAAAGAAAGAAGGGAAGAATAGGTAAGAATAAGAGAAAATAGGAAAGAAAGAATAAGAATAGGATTTAAAAGAAGTTTGGGATAAGAGAGAAAAAAGACTAGAAGGTAAAAATGGGTAAAGATAAAAAGGAAGAGAGAAAAAGTACGTAAGATAATACAGAAAGAAAGAAGAGATAAGAATATATAAGAATAGATATATGGAGAGAAATAAAGAAAAAATAAAGAAATAAAAACGGAATATTAGCTTAAGAAATTGAAAATCTATCTGACTCTTTTTTCAAAGAAATTTAAACCCCCACGAAATATTCTTACTTATGTCATCACTCATTCTTGCTTATCTTATCCGTCTGTTATCTTATGAAAATTGATAATTATTATAAAAAATATTAAAAAAAAAAAACATATCAAGCAATTATATACATGGCAGAGAAATGTAGAAACTGTATGAATGAGAATGGATATCTTCACAATACAAGAAATGTATTTAACCGGTTTCGAATACAGCTTCGCCAGAAATACACGTTAAAGATGTATTTAACCGGTTTCGAATACATCTTCGTCAGAAATACACGTTAAAGATGTATTTAACCGGTTTCGAATACAGCTTCGTCAGAAATACACGTTAAAGATGTATTTAACCGGTTTCGAATACAGCTTCGTCAGATATACACGTATTTCTGACGAAAATATATTCGAAATCATTAAAAAACATCTGTATTGTGGAAATGATACACACATTCCTGAAAAAAAAATATATATATATATTCCAAACCGGTTAAATACATTTCTTGCAGTGAAGATATTTATTTCTCATTCATACTTTTCCTACGTTTGTCAACATGAATATGATTCACGGAAGATATATGCCACGTTAATGGATTTGACATGACGACCATGATAGTGTCAGTCACAGTAATGACAGCGGCAAGAGATAACAGAGAGATATAATATAAGTGGTGATTAACGGAGCTTAGAGGAAAGCGAATAAACAAGATAATGATAAAGATACTACATGAACCCAAAATCCTTTCTCTCGTTCAAATAATAAACTAATTTTATTATCATTATCTATATTCCCATTAATTATTTCGTTATCACTTTCATCTCCATATTTCTTAATCTCCTTCCCCTTTACCCCTTCGTCATGCCTTTACCATGACGAGAAAGAGAGAGAAAGAAAGAAAGAAAGAGAGAGAGAGACAGAGAGAAAGAAAGAAAGAGAGAGAGAGAAAGAAAAAGAGAGAAAGACAGAGAGAAAGAAAGAAGAGAGAGAGAGAGAAAGAAAGAAAGAGAGAGAGAGAGAAAGAAAGAGAGAGAGAGAGAGACATCCGCGTGTTTAACCTAAACGTCAACATGAATCATTCACTGAACAAAATGAACAAACTTGAAATACCTGAACGTGTTTGTTCATTTATCTGAACACAGGATTCGCATGGCAAATAACGATATTTATTTAGTAAGGACTGCGGTCGGTAAGGAAGGTATATATGTATACCGTATCAGTCGTATAATGAATAAGGTCTATATTTCCATAGACTTTGCTTATGAATACGTTATCGGGAACGTTTCGGAATGGTGGTACCTGTGAACAAACAATCTCTGATTCTCTATCTATGTCGGGGTAGAGAGAGAGGAAGAGAGAGAGAGAGAGAGAGAGAGAGAGACGAGAGAGAGAGAGAGAGAGAGAGAGAGAGAGAGAGAGAGAGAGAGAGAGAGAGAGAGACAGAGACAGACAGACAGACAGACAGATAGACAGAGAGAAGAGAAAGAGAGAGAGAGAGAGAGAGAGAAAGAAGAGACGAGAGAAAGAAAGAGAGAGAGAGATAGAGAGAGAGAGAGAGAGAGAGAGAGAGAGAGACATCATCCGCGTATCTAACCGATCAAAGTATACCAGGCGAATTTTCCCAGATGCTCTAGAAAGATCCTACAGGACTCCCAGCACTTACCCGCTCGCGTCCCTACGGAATACAGGGCGACGCTGTATCCGAAGTAGGATTCCCTGGAGTGCCAAGAAGATCGGGGCTCCTGCAGCACGGAGGCGCCCCTGGGGTCAAAGTTGAAGGCATCCGCAAGTGGCACCGAAGAAGCGAACACACCACATAACACCGCGAACACGAAGGGTAGCTCCACCATGGTCGAAAAAAGAAAATAAATAAGAGAAATAAAAGTCACAAGATTTCCCAAAAGATTATCTATGCTTATTTTCTTCCTTTCTTCCTTTATCTTTCTTTTTTTTTCCTCTTTTTTTCTTTTATTTTTTCTTTTCTTCTTCTTTCCCCTTTCTTTCCTTCCCTTTTATTCCTTCCTCTTCGGATAAGCAATTGAACAGAGGACCTTGTTCCCGCCGCCTTCCCCAAAATTGTACCAGCAGCGACGACGTCTTGGCTCGCGAAGAAGAGAGCGACCGGAGGCGATCCCTCGAAGCAACTGAGCTCAGATCTTGGATGAACTTGCTTTTATCATGCGCTATATCTAGACATTTCGATGCCGTTTCCTGCCGATATGGACGATCAGATAACCCGTGTCCAGCCATAATTCCTTCCGCCTATCTCTCTCTCTCTTTCGCTCTCAGAGAGGGGGGGGGTAGAGAGATAGATAGACAGATAGAGAGAGAGAGAGAGAGTGTGAGTGAGTGTGTGTGTGTGTGGTGTGTGTGTGAGAGAGAGAGAGAGAGAGAGAGAGAGAGAGAGAGAGAGAGAGAGAGAGAGAGAGGCAGAGAGAGACAGAGAAGAGAGAAGATAAAGAGAGAGAGAGAGTTGAGTGAGAGAAGAGAAGAGAGAGAGAGAGAGAGATCTATGCACCCCGTCCATCTACCGATCTATCCATCACCTATCTCTCTCTACGCACTCATCGGTCCACCCATCTATTCTTCCATCCAACAAACACAAAGGTAGAAATAGGTGAATAAACTTTATCAGGTCATATTTCCGGTTCACTTTAATTTCACAAAGCACATTGAAAAATATGACAGGAAGATAGATAGGAAGAAAAGGAAAATAATTCTTATCAGGTCATATTTCCGGTTTAACTCATTCACAAGGATACATGATCTGATTCACACACGAGTTACATCATAATTGCACATTTGAGATAACACGATCACGTTTAGGCTTTGATTTACAATTATTTTACAATTTGAAGAAATAGCTCCACGCTGCATTCACACAACTGACTTCGTTTATTTCCATTGCATCAATAAACCCGAATTGCATTTTCATCATTTTGACCTTCGCAGGGACGGTTCA